CCTGCAGGCAAATTTATTGCATCCCATCCCCACAAGAGATAAATAAGCACACAATGAAAGCAGTAAACTAAGATACTCTCCATATATACATCCCCAGATATATATACTTCGATATCCATGGCTACCCGACAGATATACCCACAATTAAGTACCTTCATATATACATGTGTGTAACATGTAAATATTCCAGTAACCACAGCTAATTCTCCCCTAGACCGATAGTTGGACCGTCATGCTCTCACAACTCACACTTACCTAGGCGTAGAGACAATTGTTCCATACATTACCATTCAAGTGAATGTCATCCATACAATAGCACGCCGTATGGACGATGAAAGTAAAACCCCCATGTTAGTACTTAGATAGCCACCTAATAGTCCTTAACTGGGCATAAAGGAGGATGTCGCTAGTATAGTTTTGCAAATAAGTTTTAACAAATTTGCCTGTAGCTAAAGTTTTAGTCAAAATAGGAGTTTTAAAACCAAAAGTTTGTTTTTAAAACTATGTACATGATAGTATTATGCTTAACCTTGCTCTGATACCAGCTATGACAGAACCGCCCAATTTATATAAGATAAAGTACGGCTGTTCCCGCTAACACGTTGACACGCGTATACTTTCACTTATATAAACCCGGTAGTCCGCCGAGTGTCTCGAAAGACCTCGGTAAATCAATATCACAACCAAGATCGCGTGATTAAGCAAATACACATCACATACGCAGAGTTGCAGTAGAAATAATATTACAAATGGGTTCATAATTAATAGTACAAGTTTGGGTTTCAAAACCAATTATTGAAAACAACATAGCTTTCAAATGAATACATTAATATAAGTTACAAATACATTGCTAGCATAAGTGACATCCTTAGATAAAAGCATATATGTGAGAAGTAAATATAGAGTCACTGAGCCCATCGGCGGTTAGCCACCATCTTCCGCAGGCCAAGAACTTCACCTACAACATGGTGGGATAAACCCTGAGTACTCGAATGTACTCAGCTAGACTTACCCGACATAACCGAAAATAAAGTGACACCAAGGATTATGAAGGGCTTTATAGTATCGTAGCTGACTCATTTGCAAAAAGAGGCATTTTTAGTATTTCAAGAACCTTTCCAAAAGCATTATTGTCAAGTTAATTATTATTAACCTGTCAACTACATTTGCACCTATACTAGAGCAAGCATGTGATTAAGCAAATAATGATAACCAATGATCATTAACAACTTCCATAATGTCATATTCATTATAACTGTCCAAGTGTTCCATCAACATTACTACGATGAAGTAACTCAAGTCAAGTGTTCACTATCCAGTGAACGATGGCGATTCGAATCGATTATTAACCAGCTGGTAATTTATTCCTTACACAAACCTCACTCACCCGCTAAAGTGAGGTATCGATCACCGAGTCAACTATCCAGGAAAAATCTCGAGTTTGCTAGGAACCACATGTACCCGGGGACCGACCGACTGCCTTTCGGTCTTATCATCGCGCCCCCGTGTCCTACCACACCTGCTCCGGAACAGTGCGCTGCGGGCAATCTACTCGGCCTGAATAATCTCCCAGCTTCGTGGTCGAAAGGTACTTTATTCGGCCAGTTAAATGTAAGGCATGCGTTCAACATGACCTGAGGCCCAACAACGATCGGTCCTTAATCGACACAAACGAAAAACACTACAGTCCAAAACTCTGTAAGTCTCCGTCCGGTCTCAACTTCAAATTAACACTTAGTTATACCATGACTACATAGTTATCCAAGCAGATCCAGGTAACCATCTATAGCTCGCAGGTGACAGGAAAGCACCCGACTTCTACCGGTCTAAACCAGCTAAGCATTACCTCGACTGCGGATACCAGGGTAACAAGGATATAGTATAACAAAGGTAGACAAGGTATAATGCAGCAATGGTTACAAACAACTCCTGAACGTAATGCATCAATTAAAGTAAAGCATTAATTAATAATCGCAAACTAGGGAGGAAAATGCTCCGGGGCTTGCCTGGGATCCGACACAAGTCAGTTCAGTTAGCTTGCACCGTCCTGATGACGTCTCAGGTCCTAGCACTCGCTTAGTCCTTCCATCTTCGAGACAGATCCTCCATACATCGTCTTCGGGTTCGGCTCCAACATCACGTTCTTCACATGGTTCATCTAGCGCACCTAGATGAGATGCAAGATGCATGTGTATGAATGTGATGAATGGTAACACAAGATGCATCACATAAGCATTCAAGACAAACCAGTTATTCACGGCAATCATAGAGTCAAGGCTGCAAACAGCAGCAGCTAATTTTACTCATAACAGGAGTTGTACTAATCCAAAAGACATGCAACAAGACAATCTGGAAAGATTATGAAATTTTCTACAGTTCATCTTTAATCATCTTAGCATGATTCTCAAGTTAACTAAGTCAAATATACCCATTTATAGAAACTGGTCCATAATTGATGAAAGCAGCCATTTCTCGATACCCAACTTTAAACAGGCATAACTCACAAACCACAAGTCCAAATACCACCAAATTTTAACATAAGCTAGATACATGAATTATCTACAACTTTGTTATTCTCATATTAAGATGATCTTACAGTTAGAAGGGTCAACTAATCCAATAATTGCATCTCTGTCCAAAACATAGACAGAAACTGACATGCCACTTTAAACAGCTATAAATAGAGTTATACATGTACTATAAATATGATTCTAGACTTTTTAGAAAGCTTAGCAAATTCTAAACAACTTTGTTGTAAACACACCTAAAGCTAATTATACTATTAAGAAGGCCCAACAGTAAGAACAAAGAAACCACATGCAGGGTTTGGGCAAAAACAGCCACAGAGATTTAAGCAAGTATAACTCAAGATCTACTTAACCAAAAATCATGATATTTAACTTTTGGAAATCTTAAGAAAAAGTACTACAACTCATGTATTTTCATCAAGTCATGATTCATAACTTAACTGAGCCAATTAATTCAAACATGCAGAACTATTCAGAGTAGGAGCAAAGCAATACGGGGCAATTTTTATTTTTATAACTCTTAAAATATAAATCCTAAACTCCTGAAATTTTTACCAGACAACAACAAGCACCTGATGAGCACTCCATAAAAAATTCACATTTATTTGAGCAAAAGAACTACAGTTATGAAAAAGACAAGACGCAACTAGTATTACAAACCTAACTGCATAAATTGATTTTTACAGCAAAAACTTTAAACTAAATCACGCCATATTATAGATCTAGTGCATAGATAATTTCACAAGGATTCCAAAAAGTCCACATTTGTTATTTTACGATTTTTCTATTAATTATTACGATTTTCCAAAGTTCGGCACAAAAATCTACAAAAAGAAAAGATTAAACCGAAAAAAGAAAATACTTTTGCATTAGGAACCCTGGAAATCTTAGAAACCAACAAAGCTCATATATGTAAATACATGTGTCAGGCTTTTATGCAAATTGAACACATGAAAGAGCTTCTATTTACGATTCACCCCGTCTTCTTCAACCTCACGACGCCGGACGCCGTGAAGGGGCAGCGTCGTCGGGTCAGCCAGCAAGGGGGCGTCGGGGTTGGACCTGGGGGGCGCTGGGATTCGGCCGTGGCCAGCCCTCGGCCGCGCCTAACCCTGGATCAGCCGGCTGCAGCCAGCAGTAGCCTGGCCGCGGCAGCAGGCGGCACCGGCGGCGACGAACTGCGGTGGCGGCGAACTACGACGGAGGAGGGGCTGTCGGTTAGAGCTTGGGGACTAGAAAAACGAGGGGGTCATCCAGGCGAGGTTGGAGCAGCTGTAGGTCCTAGGAACTGGAGGACAGCATGGTTGCTACGGTGGATTTGCGGCAGCGGCAATGGCTTCTTGCTGTCGCCGTGTCTGGCTCAGCAAGGGAGAAAGAAAGAAAAATGCAGAGGAAGGGAGAGGGAGAATGGAGAGGGCAGGGGAAAACATGGCTCAAGCTCGGCTTTCATGCACCTGGGGCGAGGTGGCGACGGGCGCAGACATGGGAGGCCACGCGGCGCGAGCGTTCTGCACAGTCGGCCAGTTCAAAAATTATGAAGGAACAACAATACTACCTCAAACATACCACTGAAGCCCCATTTTCCTCCCATCATATCTCCTAAACAGATCGATTATTTGATCAACCGATTGCATAGTTATGTAGAGCTACGTGTGTACTACGATACTTCTGAAGGGAGTCTCATCTAATTCTCAACGGTTTCCAAACGATAATTCGCTAAAGATAGGTACACGAAAACTGAAATACGAAAATTCAGTCATCCAGACTTAGCCGATTTTCGAACCCTGAAAACAGCACTGGATTTGACATTGTGAGCGGCATTTGACTAAGCTAGGCACTAATTTAGCTCTTGAGCATTAAACAAAGTTTGTTCTACTCCACTCAAACTTCAACTTTTGTTTAGGTTCCACTGCCATGCAAACACTCTAAGCCACAGTTCAAACCAAGTCAAAGTAGCATCACGGTAAAGCTTAAATTAGAGATTTAGACCAATTGCGGTATTTTCTTGACCTCTGCTCAACACGAACCCTTCATGACTTTTGTTGTAGAGTTCAATTAGAGTCATTTGGGCAAGGTTCCAAGGTTTGGTTGATGATATAAAATTCCATTCACTTTATAAAACAATTCAGGCAAGGACATAACTTGTCATTTCATGTGACTTCTTGATTCCAAACTTCATGAAACTTTTCCAGTGATCAATATAGATGGATGTTGATGCGAGACAAATGAAACAAGTACATCCAACATTACTCAAGCATACTTTTTAGAAAGGGCAGCATGTAAGCAATGGTGCATGGTCCAAGTTTAAGTGGTGGCTCACTTTCATATGTTTGACCTAACATCTCCAACACCACTTAACATGCCATGGTTGAGTTTAAACCCATTGCTTAACTGGTGACAAACACCTGGGGTGTTACACCGGCGTTCGCGTCAGTCGACCTCGTCCTCCGCTACGTGAAGCGGTTCGTGGTCATGAACCCTGCCCCCGCGGAGCACCTGGACACGGCACCGCTGCCCGTGCTGACTGCGGACTACCTCCAGAAGACAGATCAGCGGCACCAGTCGCGGACAGAGAGGTACAGGTGCTTCCCTGCCGCCAGCATCTCCATCGTTTGTCGCGGCGTCAGGATCTCCGTCGTCACCATCCTCAGCTCATCGGCCTACACCAGTAGCCGTGACAGCGCGGCCTTGTACCTCGGCGTCCGCGTCGACGCAGGTTCCGCGAGCAGAGTCGAGCGGTGCCGCCGCCGCCGTGGCAAGCTCGCCGCGCTACCTCACGATGGGCAGGAGCGTGCGGTCAGCGATGTCCTCCTGCAGGGTGGCGAGCTGATCCGACAGGGCATTCTTCGCTGCCCTGTCCTCCCGCAACCGCGCAGGCCTGTGGGTGGCATAGTCCTGTTACGCGAGCACAACCACGTCAGATTAAAAAGATAAACGAAGGCGGTATGGACTAGAGATGCATCACTTTAAAAGTTTATGGACCTGGAAAACCACTTTCATAGTTGATGGATCTAAGTAAAACATGGGTACAAGTTAATGGACCAATGATGTATTTAACTCTTTTTGAAACAATATGCCCTTGAGTATACAACCAAATAGGTCAAGCATCCGGTGTATATTCAGCCTGTTCGTTTGGCTGTGGCTTGTCGTAAACGATCGTAAATTTTCAACCGAAATAGTATTTTTTTCTTACACAAATCAGCCAGCAATACTTTTTTACGAACCAACGACGAAACGAACCAGTAACCGAACAGGCTGATTATTCGACCATCGGCCAAAAGTTTCGTACATGAGGATTGAGGCATCAGAGAGCGATAGGAATTGGGAGGCGCGGAAGGGGGTTGGAAAAAAAAAGGTAATGGTCCATGTGCACGGTGCACCCGTGCACGGGTGTGCTACAGTGGGAGGAGGGAGACTGGAGAGCGTAGAGCACATGGCAGGAGCCGCGACCCGCGCGGTGGCGAGCTGCGACGCGACGCAGGACTGCAGGAGTAGCGGATCTTGATCTGACCCGGGGCCCGGGGGATGATGGATGCCAGCCAGGCGGCCTCCATCCGCCGTCCGTCCCCTCCATCCGACGGCGCTCCCGCCGCGCCTCGCTGCGCCGGTCCACGCCGCCTCTGACGAGCGAGCCCAATCATTTCACATCTGGCTCTCGTCAGGAGCAACCCAGTCCTCCCACCTCGGGCCCCGTCCTCTCGGCGACTCGGCTCCTCGCAGTCCCTCGCTGCGTTCGCCAAAAGCAGCAGCAGCAGGTCCAGCCGTCGCCGTCTCCACTCTCTGCCACTGCTCCGCCGCGCGCCGGATCGAGGGAGGGCAGGCGGAGGAGGAGGACGAGGAGGGATGAGTCTCTTCGGGCTTGGGCGGTGAGCGCTCGCGCGATCTCGATCGTATCGTACACATGCTTCTTCGCTCTGCTCCCTTTGCTTTTTTTACCCCCCTCGTCCCTGACTTGGCGCCCGTGGGTTCGGGACGGCGGGATCCAGGCCGTTGCTGCTGGAATTGAGATCTCGCGCGCGCGGGGTTTGCGGGATCGGGGAACTCCCTCCCCAGCTTGATCCGCTGCTCTAGCTGGGGATCGGCCCTAATTAGGGGATATTCTGCGTTCAGCAATCACGGCCATGCTAGTGCCACTGTGGGGAGTCCTATTCCGCTCTGCTGAACCCTTGTTTTTCCACCTTGGTTTTCGGTTTCCTCCCTAAAATGCGAGTTCAGTTAGCCCACTTCTCCCGGCGTGTTCAGTTAGACCACTTCTCCACCAGTTCCCTGTGAAGCCCCCTCACCGCCGCCTGGAATCAAGCCACTTCTCTAGAGTGAGTCGTGGAACCAATCCTGCCTGAAATCTACAAGATGGCATGCATGGGAGGCCTGGTTTGCATTCCCCTGTAAGATAAGATTGGTTGCGCATTTACTCTGCATGGAAAGCAGATACCCATGGCTCAATCCCACCCTGGATTGGTTCCCCTTGGGGAATTAATCCCTTGCAACCCAACATGCCCGGCGTTGTTGAGGAATTCTGCTGATTTTAGCTTCTGATGCAGCAATCGTCCTGATCAGTGCTTTTTATTCCTCTGGCAGGAACCAGAAGACATTCCGTCCCAAGAAGAGCGCTCCATCAGGCAGCAAGGTAAGAATTTCGACTTCCCAGTTCCCTCTTTAAGTACTAGTTATTACTAGGTACCAGCAACAACTGCCTGTACTTGTGCCCATTGTTTGGCGTGCTGTGTAGCATGCAAAGTGCGTTTCATGTGTGGTGGCCGTTGCCTTGCTGCTCTGGATCATCAATCAAAAATTGATGTGTCCAGGTGATCATGCATCAGAGCCACCTGGCTATAAGCACTATTGTTGCAACCGGTAGGACCATGATTGATGACTGAACATGCGAGCAATGTATCTAGGTGCCAATTTGTTGCAATATCTAGTGATTTGTTTGGCCATGCTACATCCAGGATTTTAATCAGTCGTCATGAACTGTTTAGGGGGCATGCAGATGCAGGCTATTCTTGTCACTGAAAAGTATGTGATAGAGCTTGTCTGCTAGTGCAATTAGTCTGGTTAGAACTTTGGGTTAAACTTCAGGAGTATGAATTGGTGATCGATCTTATCAATGTTCAGGAAGTAGACAGACTTTAAGTTATCTGTTTTGGCTTTAGTCTTTCTGTTCTGGCCATGTCCAGAACTAAAGGATATCTTGCTCGGTTGACATTCTTGTTGGCTATTGCGAAGAGCTCTGTTTATCACTGCACATTTGTTAACATAAGTGACACAAGCAGTTTTGTTGGATTGCTTTATTCTTCCATCTATTCCAAGACACTCTGTACTAAACATTTTGAAACACTGATAACGAGATTCCCTTTGCTGCTTATCATGTGTCAATTAAATCCAGTACACAGATACTTTCAGTGAAAGGTCTAACAAACATTGTTGTCCCACATCTATGGTGGTAGTATTTATATAGCCAATGAATCCTTTGCGAAACTATGTAGGATGCTTATTTAGCATTGAGTGGTGTTAATGAAAGACTTGCAGCAGTTATTTCTAGCACATTCAATCTTCAGTACATGCCATGGCTCTTAAATCACCTGTGACGAGCAAACTTTCTAGATTTTCCTATACACTGTCTTCAAATCTTGCATGTTTTATTTGCCACTAGAAATAAGCAGGCATCGAGTCATAAATTACAATGTGAATAGTGTGATGCTTAACTTGACCTTTTCTTTCTGTCTGCAGGGAGCGCAGCTCGAAAGCTTTATAGATGCCACTCTCGGCAGTGGAAACCTTAGGGAAGCTGTGAGGTTGCCTCCTGGAGAGGATATCAATGAATGGCTTGCTGTGAATAGTAACATTCTTCCCTTTCGTTTGCAGTTTTCACCTAACTCGGTTGTTCCATTGAAGCTAACATGTTTGTTTTGCTTTGCAGCTGTGGATTTCTTTAACCAAGTTAATCTGCTGTATGGCACACTCACAGAATTCTGCACACCTGAGAGCTGCCCGACAATGACAGCTGGCCCAAAGTGAGCCTTTACAAGTTTTCATACATTCTATTCTTTTGGATTGTCAAAATGCAACATGGTGAAAATTATCCAAAAAGTTTGTCAGTGACTAGTTTATTTGAATAATTGTAATTTTGTGTACGGTGAACTGTTTCACCAAGGCTGCTATTGAATGATGACTCTTAGAGGCTAAGTGTCTCGTTGCTAAGTTGCTATTTGCTATTATATCTTGACTAGTGACTCATTTTTCTGGCTTCATAGGGACATGAAGTCTTTGAAACCAATTAATCTCTTTTTGTAGAAGACTAGAAGCTATACATAACTATCAATTGTTAGGGTGTCAGAGCTTAGAATTATGATGATGTACTAGCTCAAAAGTTCAATATTAGTGTACCTAAAAAATGTATGCCTCATGGTTACCTTTTCTTAATTGCACTTGTATTTCTCTGCAATGCAAGGCCATGCTCATTTTCACATGCTGTTCTAGTGTAATATGAATCTTGATAATGGATAGTCCAGGTTATGCCTCTTTTTGAGAGAAGAAAATTTTGAAAAAGGACTTTGTTTGTGGCCATGCCTATTGTGGTGCTAAGCATTTAACAAGTTAGCATTTTGTCATATAACTCCATCCGTTATAAATTGGTGCCTGTGATGCATATTCTTGGAAACTAGTTTTTATTTAGATCATATCATGACAGAGCAAACATGAGGTTTATGCAGGTATGAGTACAGATGGGCTGATGGTGTGCAGATAAAGAAACCCATAGAGGTATCCGCACCAAAATATGTGGAGTATCTGATGGATTGGATTGAAGGCCAGCTTGATGATGAATCCATATTCCCTCAAAAACTTGGTATGTTGCTTTTTATTGTGGATTTGTGGAGCTCTCTTAGTTTCTTGTGAACACCTGACATCGGATGCAATCGAGCATGTTATCTGATTTGGATTTCGTTTCCCCTCTGTCAAGGCACACCATTCCCGCCAAACTTCAAGGAAGTAGTAAAGACAATATTCAAGCGCTTGTTTCGTGTCTATGCCCACATCTACCACTCTCATTTCCAGAAGATTGTTAGCCTTAAAGAGGAGGCCCATCTCAATACCTGTTTCAAGCACTTCATTCTGTTTACAAATGTAGGTCCCATCATTCATGGCAATTGCTTTTTATACAACACAATTACATACCTACATTCTTGGCCAGGGAAAAAGGAAAATGGCAGCAGTTAACGTTCTTTGGTGTTTGTGCTGCAGGAGTTTGGCCTGATTGACAAGAAGGAGCTGGCTCCACTCCAGGAGCTCATTGAATCCATCATCGTTCCTTACTGAGAATACGCTGTACTAAACATGGATACAGAGCTCTCAATGCTGATGGCTGTGAAATTTAGTCTGTTTGTGACAATACTTCACTGCATAGAGCTTATTGTTCCAGTTATTAGACATAAAAGGACAATAATGTTATATATGTGTTTGTACCTGTGTGTTTCTTCCTGATCATGTATTGGCCATGTAAGTGTGCCTGTTATCAGCTATAGAACGGTGGTGATGATGTTGTACTGCAGAAAGAAAAACACAAGAAAGCTGTGTTGGATTAATGTATGCAGTGTTTGTTTCCTCCTGGTTATGTGTTACCGTCAGTTTGTCAACTTATTTCCAAAAACTCCCTCTGGCTAAATTGTAAACCGTTTCAGTTTTGTCCGAAGTCAAAACTTCTTCAATTTTGACTAAGTTCATAGACAAATATTGTTGACATTTACAAAACCATATAAATTTGTACTAAAGCATATCGTATTATATATTCACTGTGTAGATCTACTCATGTGGAGTCCAATAAAATTAGATTTTTTATTTTATGATTTTTCTATGATTTTTCAAAATTCATCGAAAATAAAAAAAAGGAAAAGAAAATTCAAACCCACAGCCACTGTAGCAAACCCGTTGTTACTGTAGCAAACCCGATGTAAAAACCGTCCGGGGGTTAAAATAGACGGTTTTGGAAAGTTCAGGGGATAAAACAGACGGTTTCATAGTTAGTGGTTGAAGTAGACCACGTATGAAAGGTGGGAGGGTTAAGTAGACTTTTTCCTAAATAAATTGTCAATGCATATTTCAAATTTGATTTAATGAAACTTTTTTGATGTGCTAGATGTTGAGCAGATTATGTTAGTTTGATTTAGGAGAAAAATAAAATGACATCCGATTCGGATCTAAAACTTCCTCAGAACTATAAACTTCCTCAATTTGGAACTATTAAGCAAGTATGTATCGTTTCCATAATCTGAACCTTCATCTCTGGTAGAGAATCCAATGAAAAACGACATGGAAGCTGACAATCTAATGAAAAATGACATGGATACTGCAATAGAACACGTGAAAGAAATGCCATGTTGCTGTAACAAGACATGCCATTTCTGCTCTGATCACAAACATGTCATTTCTGCTCTGATCACGATAACACAAACATTAGGATGATCACAATAACACAAACATTAGGAAGACATGTCATTTCTGCTCTGATCAGAATAACACAAACATTAGGATGATCACAATAACACAAAAATTAGGAAGACATGCCATTCTGCTCTGATCAAAATAACACACCAAGGTTCATACTAGAGGCAATTAACACAACACATGGCATGGCACCACAGAAGCTTCGATTGGTGCAGATGATACTACTGGTGCTACCACGAGGTGCGGTAGGCGGGAGCAGAACGGACGAACGCGACGCTGCTTCTCCTCCTGCTGAACACAAAGCTACTGATGGAACATGGCGGCGAAGCACGGGGCAGGGGCACTAGACGCGGCCCTCCCAGAGGCAGGGCTGGTCATCGGTGCAGAGGACGAGGAGCGCCGGCGGCGGCGCGAGGCCGAGCGCGGCGGCGCGGCGCCAGCGCTGGGCGCGGGTGACGCCGAGGCACGGCCCGTAGCGCATGTCCATGTCGAACTCGCGGGCGGCCCGCTCCCGCTCCTCCTGCTGGAGCCTCGTCGAGTCGGCGCCGGCGCCGGCGCCGTGATCTGCGGTGACGAGAGACGAGTCAAATCGGTCGATCTGACAGTGGTGCCGCGGAAGAGGAACAGCGATCGGGGGGATTCGGGATCGGGAATAGTACCTGGGGCCGGGTGGACGTGGACGGCGGGAGCGGCCTTCTGGTGGTGGTGCGCCGCCGCCGCCGCCTTCTTGGAGACGCCGCCGGTGGGCTTGGTTGCGGCCCCGGCGCCGGCGTGCGCCTTCTGCTGACGGAAGAAAGACTTCATGTCGCCTCCGCCGCCCCTCGTCATGGCTCCGGCGGGCGATCTCTCTCCTGCGGAGCTGGTGGTGGGGTTGGGATGAATGGGGATTGGAATGCGGCGGCAGAGGAATGAATGGGGAACGATGGTGGATGACTGGATGGTGAGGGGGTTGCTGTTTATATACGGGATGCGAATGGCTACACGAGACGGCGCTGTGGCCGTTGTGAGAGGCGATTCGAATTTTTTTGAATTTTGAAATGGGCGTGCGTGCGTCGTGCCATACGGTTCCTTCTCCGAGCGAGAATCCACTCACATCCGGCCGGCCGTCCGTGCGTCGTGGGCTCGTGGCTGCAAAGTGGAACCACCTGCCCGCTGCTGCTCCGAGAGAATCCTGTTCATACTGTTCCTAGTTTCTGTCGACATTGTACATTGTTCAGCTCATACAATACTCTATCCGTTATTCGATAAATTAATTTTTAGAGTTATTTTAAAGAAATATTTAAAATTTAACCGAATTTAAAAAAAAAACATACAAAGATTTACGATACTAAATTAGTATAATAAAATATACCATAAAATATTTTTATTTGATGTTACTTCTTCTATAAATTTAGCCGGATCTTAAAAGTTGACTTTAGATAATTATAGAAATTGATTTATTTGAAGAGAGTAGCTAGGAGTAGACTTACTCTGGACCTGACTGTGGGCCATGATTTTTTTTTCTGGCATGATATAACCTTAAAAACCTGACACATAGTGTGAAATCTTAAAAAACCTTGAGAAATAGCCTGGCTCGACCTGCCAGCATGTTAGATCAAGCTCGGGGTAAAGATTTTGACCTGACCATTTTTCTCAGTCTAACATGATGTTTGATCAGATCTAGCTAGGAGAAGGGTGCCAAGCCGACAGTCATAAAAAAAATGTCAGTACTCCACATAATTCAATTCAAAGTAAAAAAAACAAAGTGTTATAAAGAAGTGGTCTAGTATTATGGACCATAATTTAATGGTATTTTTTTCTACTTTATTCGGTCTGTTCGCTTGTTGGTTTCAGCCAGGGCTTATCAGCCAGCCAATAGTGTTTTCCTCTCACAACAAACCAGCATCAGTCGGGCTTATCAGCCCAGAAACCAACCAGCGAACAGGCTCATTGACAAATAAACTAATGTCATGCCTAAACGCGTTAGCACTTCGTGTCCGAGAGAAGTCTTTTTAAGAGATGCAAGGAGGGTTGTTCATGAACATGCAAATAAGCTAAATTTTTGCCGGTTTGCAAGTAACCTGCAAAAATTTAGCCTATTTGTGGGTTTTATGGTAACCTACCTTGCATCCCCGGTCTTTTTCACCCGCTTCTCATTAAAAAAACTAATGACATGCCAAACACTTAGGCACATCTTGTATAGTCTATTTTTCACGTTCGCCTCTGCATCTCGGACAAATGGAGTAATATATTGTCGGTGCAGAATGTGACCAACTAATAAATATCTGTAATTTTGCCGTACGTTGTGATCGGAGGTGACCTAGCACTCAATGACACAGGGTTTATACTGGTTCATGCAACGTGCCCTACGTCCAGTTTGGGTCGGTTAGTGACTTTATTCCTGAGCACAGGTGCTCGAAGTTTGCAGTGGGGTTACAAACGAGAAGGAGAAAGATGGGGTGTACAAGAGGTCCGGTCGGCTCCGGTCGGAAGGGCCAAGAGCGACAGGAGCTACGCTATGAGCTAAGTGTTCAAGCGTGCGCTTGGGGTACGAACCCGGCGGTTCTGTGGTTGTGAGCTGATGAACTTGATCGATGTTGGTTTTCTCAAAAGGACTAAAGAAGCTCTTCTTTATTGGAGAGAGCGCATCCCCTTTTATAGATAAAAGGGATGGCTTTATAAGTGAGAGGGTGAGGGTACGTGTGCTACTGGGCACTGTCGCCCATGCCGGCAGGTACAAGATAATGGTAGGCGCCTACAACACTGTTGGTCGTCACTGTAGAGTGTCAGATGCATGTGGGAGGTTGCGTTGCCTTCTTCAGAAATGGCAGATGTCGGTGCCTGCAAACACTGTTGATGCCTATAGGCATGTGAGGAGTTTCACCACGTTCACCTGGTACGGTAAATCCCGGTGCCCACAACACTATCGATACCTAGAGACATGGGGGGGGCTTACCGTATGGGAGTTAACGGCGCCTATAATACTGTAGAAGAAAATATCGGCACCTACAATACTGTTCGTGTCAGGGTGGTTGCAGAGTACTGTACAGGGTATGGTCCCTGGTATCGTGGTTTGACTCTATGCGCCCTGGCTCGCTTTTTCCGTTCGTCGCTTGGTTCCTTCCGAGCGGGCGTCCCCGGTCGGATGCCCCTAGTCAGCCCTGATCGTGCCAGTCGGAGAAGAGCGGTGAGCAGGGTTTCTGCGCACCCCGGTCGGAGACGTGGGGTCGGAGTCGGAAGTGGCGCTTGGGCCAGGTCTTCCAACCAGAGAGGCCATCCGGAGGCGGCTGGAGTCCGAAGCTAACGCTCCGGTCGGAGAGGTGGGCCAAAGTAGTCGTCGAGCGGGCGCCGTTTGTCTTCGGTAAGACCTTCTGGTCGGTGACTGGACCGCTCTTCCGGCCTGTTGTTTTTAGACTCTTGGACCGAGCCTTGGCGTGGAAGCCGGTCCCCGAGGGACCTCGGATTTATGAACCCGACAGGAGCCCCCGAGCCCTCGGGCGATTCGGGCAGAATCGTCCGGGGGATTTTTGTTTTTGACGGTGGGTGCGCGCGAGCGCACCCGCGGGTGTAGCCCCCGAGCCCCTGGGCGGTTCGGGCAGAACCGTCTGGGGGGGTTTTCTGTGCCATCGGCGGGTGCGCGCGAGCGCACTCGCAGGTGTAGCCCCCGAGCCCCCGGGCGGTTCGGGTAGAACTGTCTGGGGGATGTTTGGTTAGCGGGTGTGTGTGCGTGTTTTTTAGTTTGAGACGGAGTTTGTTCTAACCAAGGCGTCGTTGTGCAGCCGAGGCATTTTAGTCGCTTGAGAGATTGGGTGACAGGGAGCTCGCGGATCCTGGCATCGGTGCGCGCCGTGGGATCGGGTGAGGTAGTTAGTTTGGACGAGACAGAGCTTACTGATCCTGGCGTCGGTGCGCACCGTGGGATCGAGTGAGTCAGAATCACAGTGTGAGATCGGGGTCACGGACCCAGGTGCTTGGAGCACAGTCGAAAGCGTAGCCGGATGGGGCGAGATCGGGGTCGCAGACCCAGGTGTCCTTGGAGCGCAGTCGGAAGCATAGCCGGATGGGGCAGATCGGGGTCGCAGACCCAGGTGTCCTTGGAGCGCAGTCGGAAGCGTAGCCGGATGGGGCGAGATCGGGGTCGCAGACCTAGGTGTCCTTGGAGCGCAGTCGGAAGCATAGCCGGATGGGGCGAGATCAGGGTCGTAGACCCAGGTGTCCTTGGAGCGCAGTCGGAAGCGTAGCCGGATAGGGCAAGATCGGGGTCACAGACCCAGGCTTTTTGTGTCTTGAGCCCCCGAGCCTCGTTGGGCCTTAGTAGGGGTTGGTGTGAGTTATGTGCGTTACCCCATCCTCGGTTCCTCACAACCGGAGGGGCTGAGTTTTGTCGCTTGTCCCGATCGCTCGGGCTCAAGTGACGCGCTCGGTGAGTTCGCTAACGGGTGTGATCGAGCGGAATCCGGGTCCGTCGTTCGTGACGAGGTCGGCATAGCCCTCTTGTGACATTCTACTACTCCTTTACCTGCTACACGGCAGATGCCTGGGTCATTTCAGAGATCGACCCAGGTGGCCTAACGGCCTCCCCTCGATGGAGATTATGTGGGCTTGGCGAGAGGTTTAGGATCGAACGAGAAGGTTGGGAGTGAGAACAGAGTCATGTAGGGCAATTAAAGGAACGGAACGTGCTTCTGTTCGGGGACAGCGTTTGTTTACTGTGTGACAGTAAAAAAGAGAGGTAATATTCAGTATTATACCCTTATGGAGCCCCCGAGCGACCCGGGCTGAAAGTGTTTGGGCTAGGGTGCTTTTACAGGGGCAAGTTTGACTAAGAAATCGGTAAGACCAAATTTTAGGGGAAAACGACGTAGCTGTTCAATGTTCCAAGTGTTGGTGAGAAGGTTGCCGTTGTTGTCCTCTAGTCGGTAGGTGTCCGGTCGGATTACTTCGGTCACCGTATAGGGTCCTTCCCGTGGTGGAGAGAGTTTGTGTTTTTCCTTCGTTGATTGGGTCCTCCGGAGTACGAGATCGCCGACTTCGAGTATCCTCCCTCTGATCTTCCTTTCGTGGTACCTGCGGAGGGTTTGTTGGTAGCGAGCGGAGCGGATGACGGTCGTCTCACGGGCCTCTTCGAGTAGGTCGACAGCGTCTTGCTGAGCCTCCGTGGCCCGGTCGTGGTCAAAGGCCTTGACCCTTGGGGCGCCGTGGTCGAGGTCGGAGGGCAGCACTGCCTCAGCTCCGTAGGCCAGGAAGAAGGGTGTGAACCCTGTGGATCAGTTTGGGGTCGTTCTTAGGCTCCATAGGATCGCTGGGACCTCTGCAACCCATCGCCCTGCGTATTTGTTGAGTCGGTTGAAGATGCGTGACTTAAGTCCCTGGAGGACCATGCCATTGGCACGTTCGACCTGACCATTAGTTCGTGGATGTCCGATCGAAGCCCAGTCGATCCTGATGCCGTATCCATCGCTAAAGTCTAGGAACTTCTTTCTGGTGAAGTTGGTCCCATGGTCAGTGATGATACAGTTAGGAACGCCAAACCTGTAGATGATTTCGAGGAAGAACTTAACTGCCTCCTCCGAGCGGATGTTGGTGATGGGCTTGGCCTCTATCCACTTGGTGAACTTGTCGATTGCTATGAGTAGGTGAGTGTACCCGCCTGGGCCGTTCTTGAGTGGTCCCACCATGTCGAGGCCCCATACTGTGAATGGCCAGGTGATGGGAATGGTTTGGAGCTCCTGTGCCGACAAATGGGTTTGCCGAGCATAGAACTGGCATCCTTCACATCTTGTAGCACGGTGGGCCAGTAAAAACCTTGGCGAAAGGCTTTTCTGACCAGCGACCGTGGGGCCGCGTGA